GGAACTGCGGGGGCTGGACAAGGCCATGCAAACCATTCGTGGACATCTCGTGAACAACATAGCCAAACTGGACGCGATAGACGACCACATCGCCCATGAAAAGGTCAAACTCGGTGAAACGGAGGACGAGTCTCTGAAAGCCACCATCGAGGAACGAATACGTAATTTGGAAGAGGAAAGGAAGACCCGGCTGGAAACGGCATCCTCCTTCCGAGACCAGCTTCGATCCCAGGTCAGCCGTGCGCGGGAAACCGTTGATCGAGTCCTCTACCAAGACACCACGTTAGCTGACAGGATTCGGATCCTGTTCCGGGAGCAAGGGATCACCATCGCCAGCATTCTAACTGCATTGGGCTTCATCATATCAACCCTGGTGGTGTCACTGACGCCTGCCGGCGGCAGTAGTGCACCAACACCAACACCACCAAGTGGTGGGGGCGTCAAAGACTGGATAAAAAAACACCTGAAATCCCTCGGGGAAGCCCTGGCTAAACTGGCTGGTAAGGCCGCCAAAACCCTGCCTAGCATCCTTGGTAGCATCGTCTCGTGGCTGCCGAGCGCTCTGGCTAAAACTGCCACGTGGTTTGGTCAAAACCTGTGGGCAGCCATCGTCACAATGGCGGGTTTGGTGTACGTAGCGGCTAAGGAATTTTTAACCAAATGAGTCCCAACCCCGACCGCTACCCCACCTACCACCAGGGCTGTTTTACGATCGATGTGCTGCTGATTGGACGCCTGAACATGTGCAGGCTGGGGCTGTGGGGGTGTTGGTTGAACCCTAGGCTCTGGGGGTGGCGCCACTATACCCGTTTCACCGGTCGTGGGTGGTGGGACGTGGGGGACGTTGACATCGAGGTTGACGCCCAACTTTTGGTCCGCCGTGGCTATGACTATTTCGTTGTTGTAGCCCACCACTTTTTTTACTCTCAGTTGCATATCGCTCGGAGCCATGTACAACCCCACGTCGAACACGTAGTCGACTTTCGACCTGGCATATTTCAACACGTCTTGGTAGCGTTTGATGGCACTCGGGAGCATTGATAGCATCCTCAACGTTGACAACGAACTGTTTCTGAGCGTCGTAAACAGTCCCCTTACCGAGGATGTTGGAACGCGTTTGCGTCTGCACACCCAACAGCGCCCACACGTACGTTCGAATCGAGTCGTTTAACCTGATTACCCCGGCACGAGTGGACCCTTTCGACGTGTTCAGCATGAACTTTTTCCAGTCATCCGCTTCCCCCTGCTCGAACCTCCAGACTCGGTAATCCTTGCTGTTGTCGAAAGCCATGTAACGGTCATCCCACTCGTTCGTTGTGAGGTGATGATACGACTTGTATCCCCATTCTTTCAACTTCTCGCTGGCATCCACGAGGGGCATATTGTGAACGATGGGGATACCCAACCCGTGGTTTGGTCCCGGCAAACGCCAATCCGTCTTTGTGTTTAGTTCGAATTCGTTGCTAATACGTTCGTAGGCCCGTCTATCGTACTGGTTGTTTAATGCGTTCCACGCCTTTTCCTGTGGGAGCGGGGCGCTGATCTCTTTGAGGATACGCCTGACCTGGTAGTACACGTGAAACGTGAACACAGACTGACTCAGCGGTCCACGCCGCGTGTCGGTCAATGTCACACCACACCCCGTTGTAGTGCACCACACGGCGAAGTTGAGTTGATTCTGCCAGAACTGCATCGGGTTGTTAAACCAAGCGTGGACTGCCTTGGTGTTAGTCACCGAAAATTTATACTGGTCGAACACATCTATGAACTGGGTGTCGAAATACAACCCATCAGCGACCACGATCTTCATGTGGGGGAAATCTATGTCCAGTAAAACACTCCAGGGGAGTACATTTTAAAACTATTATATAATGAGTTTATATACTCTAACTTGTACATAACACTTCCAGGAATAACGAGCGCTGAGGCCATTCAGCTGACGCACGCAATCGATAACACGTCGGGCCAACTCGAAGTAGCACTGTGCGATATCACCTACCTACCGCGATGGACTAACATCAACACCAACAACAATAAGCTGTTCGTCAGTGGCACCTGCAATCAGATAACTGACGACAACTACAGCGTGTGCTCGCAAAGCGACGAGGTCTTCAAGCCCCTGGGAGCCGAACTCAAGATGAACGACTCAAACGGCACAGTGGTGTTAATCAACAACGGAAGAAAGTCCTTGAGGCTCGGTCAACCATTGGCGAGGACACTCTGTATGTCACCTGACGAGATAAAACCAACAACTACCGTCACAGGCACGAAGTTACCCGACCTAGTACCGTACCGAGAGCTGTGCATTCATCTGAACCAGGTGAGTACAACGGACAACAATGAAGGTGGACACCCTTCCACTATACTGAACTCACAAAATATAACAAAATGAAACAAGAGATTCGATCCAAGTCTCGTAAGTCTGCTATCAGCGAGGACGAGAAAAAAAACGTACATAGAACAGGGGATACAAAAAGCCCAGCAAGCCTTCATTACGAACACCAAAGAGATCATAGGCGATTCACATTAAACTGTTTCATTGAGGTCAACGTGACATAGCGGCACGATGATGCAATCTCAGGATAGACCCGTTAAACCGACATACTTCAGCCATGTCCCCGGTAGCTCAGTCGGTTGAGTGGTGCGGATACATGTGGTGTTCGTATCCCACTAGCGTCTCAAACTTTTTTATAGTAGGGGTAATAGGTAGCTGGATCAAGGGTCCGACCAAAGTCTTATTTGTCAAATAAGGCTTTGCAGAGGCTTTCGTTGGACTTGATCTCGGACTATCATTGTATATACTACTACCCCGGATCTCTTCACGGTCAAACATTATGGTGACACGCTTTGTTCCATTGTTTATGAGAAACGTTTCTTACATGTGGCTATATGTCATTTGACCCTTTAATAATGGCGCCTAGTAGATATTGGTACTTGAAAAGATTAATCAATGTGTATACATGCTAAAACATTAGTATCTACTACCACGTTATGCAATCACGCATTCTAAGTGATGAATGCTACTGTTTGTTTGTGTGTTTGGGTTTTGCTTAGCGCCGCACTCAACAATTTCCGCCGCATCTCACCATCTGTAAATAATCTCGACAAGAAAACAATGACTGGAAACATGAGCAGTGAGATGCATCAACAGGTCAGTGCGTTTTCTCAGTATGTTACAAGGACGCAGTGGCAAGTAAAAGAACAGCGTGTAACTTTAAATGAGCAATCTATTTACATCCACATTTCCAAGAAAAGCATTCTAAATATGCGGACCTTGCCTTTGAAATGTCTCGCTTGCATCCCAAGTACACGGACTCCACATTGTTCTAAGCGCCCTTGGTTTGGTACCTCCTGATCTCTTGGCGCAGATCAGGAGAGTGCCCGGGTTCTCCACCGGGAGTACAGCTCTTCTGACACTCTGGGTAATGCAGAAGGCTGCAGTGTTGGGGAGCCTTCATATTCTCCGGAAAGTTCTTGGTGGGTTCGACTAGGCAGCGTTTCCTGGGAAAAGTTCCAATGAGTCTTTGTTCTCTTTTTAACCACCCACGGTGGTACAAGAGCTTTGGGTATATATTTAATTACATTGTTGGAAGGTCCTTCATAATTTACAGTTTCTGCGTAGCTTTAACACGGTTATTGATAATAGATATAAACTTTGAGAATTTATTAATAATAGACAGTTTTGTTGGATGCGAACAATGATTTCATATTATGCAAATTAGCGAATTACAATAATATGGTTCCAAATAATGAGATCTAGTTTGAGTGAAGGCAGAACATCTAAATAGATTATGGAATTCATCAGCTGTTGAAGGTGAGTTACAGAGATGGCAGGTTCTATTATTCTGCGGGATGCGTTTCCAACGGCCAGTTTCAATTGGGAGATGACGATTGCTTGTTCTAAATAACAGTAAGGGATAAGATATTTCTTTTTGGTAAGAAGAGGTATTTTTCAACTGATGGAGAATCTTACAGGACCCGATAATAAAATCATTTGGAACTGGTTCCGATGTTACTTTGCCACCTTTGTAAAAACTGATCTTTAAGTACATTTCAACAGTAAGAGAAATATATTTCGTTGTACAGGTGAACGGGTTTTCAAATAAGTAAGATAATCCTGAGGTATCGAGAATTTGCTTGATATGCTTAAACCAAGGTAGAACAGTGCCATTATAGCAGTACTGATATCTCATGGAACGATATATTTGTTGTGATAGCTTTAGTGGAGTACTAACAGTTTCAAGCTGATGCCAGTATCTTATCATTCCTACATAGATATATATATGTATTTCAATATGTAATATGCCTAATTCTCCATATACTATGAAGCTTGGTGTAGACGAACGAGTCCCATTCGCTGTCTGGGCTGCGTGTAGAGGGGGCAAGGGCCCAGAGCTGATGATGAGCCTTACCAGCCTGACTGTGCCAGGATCAGCCGAACCATCTCTGCTGCATTGCCATCTTAATCTGTAAATCATAAGGATGAAGATAATTTTATTCGTTTTAAAAGGGGAGAGGATCATGTTTGTTGATGAGGATGCAATGGGGACAATTTGGAATAAGTCTCTTCTTGTCATTTTTTCATGGCGCAGTAAGCCACTCTAGGAGCATGTGCATACCCCACTCATAGTACTGCAAGCACTGACTTTACGTGGTGCCGCCTGTTGTCCTTTCTATTCAGAAAAGATAGTGCGCCCTCATTTAGTGGCATAACAGATATTTTCACCAGCTTTTAAGTAGTATTCATGGGCGAGATACCTGGGATGGGGAAACGAAAATATACCAAACATTTCATTAAGAATATTGTAAGAAATTTGATAGCAACTTCATAGTTTCAACAACTACAAACTGCAGTGACGCTGCAGGAGAGGAGATTAAATTTTGAGTGTCCGGCCTATTTGCAATCGGATCCCCCGCTATGAGGTTTTCAACATATCATTTTCAAATGAAATTTGCAAATGTCCTCGGCATACCAGGGAGACTATATAAGGCCCTGTTGTAGAGTATCCCTGGGCATACTAACACCGACAAACAAACCTACGGTGAAGCGAGTGTTTATTGTTATGTTATACAATGAACTACCCGTCAGTCGCAAGGCGGGTTATAAATACATTAGCTGCACTAAGCCGACTGTAACGTACAAGGACAGGACAGGCTTGAATCACGTGATATACCACAGTCAACGGGGACGCTACTGACCTGAACTGAAACTGTTTATGTTGCAGGGAAACATTGGTAAGCAGCTTTGCACTATCTGTTTTAATTTTTAAACCGACGAAACCGGCAATTTAATGACTTATGATACTTCTCAAACGTCTACAATAAAACTGGCCTGTTGGGGGGTTTGAGATAAGCCCGAACACGAACGCGGAAGTGTTCCGCCATATTGGATAGTTGGATACAAAATCATGTATCGAGAAAGCCGTTCCTGAATCGCCTATTTCATCATGTATATTTACATATTCAGCCACAACACCCGCATCACCGGATTCCCTCAAACATGATGACATTGTCCTTCATTGCCAAGGGAGAATCCACCCTGAAAAACAAAGCAGATTACCCGTCAAGCCCTTTTTCAACGACATGATATGCCCTAGTTCGACAAATGCAAACTTACCCATCTCATTCAAGCCAGGCTAATTGTGTTAAGTATATCTCAGTTGTGTGTTCCGATAATAAATACATTTCATTTATTTATAGGTGATCTGCCAAATGACATGACAACGCTGAAACATGTGGATTTATGGATCAATTGTGTTTTTAAGCTGTAAGTAACTTTGAATGTTTCAATGGTATTACGTATTTCTTTCATGTCACCCTAAATGCAACAAGTATGCTACGTTAGTTTTTGGGTATTTGGAACGAACTCTGGAAACCAAAGTGAAAGAACAGTTAGGACCTGAAGTCGCTGAATACTTTAGAACAAATTGGCGACGTTTTCTTGACGATTGCTTCATGTTATGGCCCTTTGGAGATGAAAAATTAACTCTGTTTTATAACATCCTAAATAACTTGAACAAACATTTACATTTTACCATGGACTCAAATTATTCTGAAATTCCATTTTTGGACATCAAGACAAAATGTTTCAATTTTAAATGCTGATATGAAAATGAATCGAATTATGGCTAATGTAACAATGATAAAGAGAAAACGCCAAAGCCGTAGCTTAAAACACATATTGACAGGTGCCACATTCGACTCATGTATTAAACCTACAGAATTCAGTGTCTCAAAATGTAAACGGGGAAATTGTGGAACGTGTGAATATATACTTGAAACTTCATGTATAAAGTTCAAAAACAGGAAACAATTATTTCATGTACGCTCTAACATGGACTGCTCCGCAAAACATATTATTTATGTTATCATATGCCAAGGGTGTCATGAAGAATACATTGGACAAACGGAGTGCTTGAGGGACAGAATGTGCGTCAATAAACAACAAATTAAGGACCCCAACACTAGGTGCATCCCCTCAAGCGCTCACATTGACAAATGCGCAGCAGGAAAGGAAATAAAATTTAAAATATTATTTAGAATGGAAAATTCTAAAGCAGTGAATCGCCATAGTTGCAAGGTATGAATGGCCAATCAGAGTACAGGAAGCAGCTATTTAGTGCGGTACTACAAAATGGCCGCACCCTTGGCTGTTGAATGTTTATGTCACATTACGGACAATGAAATCGGTGATTTACGTCCATTTACGTATATAACATGGGCAAAAGTGAGTGAGTGTGTTGCAATATGGAAAGAACTGGATGGCATTGAAAATTCTGTAACAGTTAATACAGCTTCTTATCATTTACTGATAAGCCTACTGACTAGCATTGAGAGAGGTTTGAAATGAAAAGACAAGGGTTGTTTGCATAAGGTAGGATAGTTTCTCCTCTTAACAACTTGCTGAATTATGCCTTCAATAGTAGATTAGGTAATGATGTATGTGGTCACTGTACATGCTTTACTGTGTTGACTATATGTTAGCTTCTTATTCATTTTTTTCCTTTCATCAGACAGGTTAATGTAGGAACACTAGATTACTCGGTGTTCTCTTCAGAACTAAGAGAGAGGTATATACACTAGATTACTCGGTGTTCTCTTCACAACTAAGAGAGAGGTATATTACAAAGTTTGTTAAAAGCCTTACACTCTATATTCTTCGGTTAATCTTTTCGAAAATACTAACTTTGATACTGTACGAGCTGTTGTGCTATATCTATTTAATGTTTAAAAGCTGTTGTGTTATATATATTTAATGTTTAATGTTTGTAAGATCAGTTTGCCCCTGACATTCAAATCATCAGCATAATGTTTCTTAATGACTCATATGTTCCATTCTGCAGATATTTCAAAAGTGCAAAAAATGCTTCGTGTCAGATACCTTTTGTCTGATCAAATATGTTTCTAGAAAGCTGAAACTGACAGAAATGTGAGCCCATTGTCATTCAAATTTGATAGTTTCATGTGATATATACATGGAATGCATTTGCATCATTTATATCACTTACATTTGAGCAATTACTTCCATTGCATAGATGTAGTGTATGGTATTGTTTATGTCAATGATTAAAATGTCTTGAACAATATTCTTTTAAAAATTTTCATTTACATGATTGGTCGTGTAGTGATCCTAATTGGTGAAATTTGTATTCAAGTAATTTGAATTTTAACAAATATGGACTAATTATGAAACTATGAAAACATTTCCAATGTTTTTACAACATTACTATTGCATAAGTACCATAAAAGGCTGTTGCCAACAGGCCAAGGCCAAGGCCGTGTAATCAGAATCCGGTAAGGGGGTACCCTTCTTTCAGGAGCTGTGAATCATTAATATGCAGTTATTTTTTGCAAGACAAGTTTTGATTCTTATCAAGCACATCCTGGGAATAATGTTGATATATAGTTCTTGTATTCACGAAATATGTTGAAGTACTCTCCTATTTCTAGAGGCCCTACAGATTTCGGCTCGTGGCCTAAGTGAGTCGATGAGTAACTGACTTACCAGCATGTATCTACGCGTTAACAATATGATGACGTGCAACATCTAAGTCGGCGCTAGTTGAATTACTCGCCTCACACTACATGTCCCCTTGTTGTAGATTAAATATTTCCAAAAGAGTTCAAAGATGATTTCATATTCTTTTATATCACATATTCCTTTTGTCTTGAAATCCGTAAAGTTCCGGGTTGGAATTTGTCTTCAGCGACCCGTTCTTGTCGTGAGAGGCGACTAACGGGATCGGGTGGTCAGGCTCACTGACTTGTCAACATATATCCCAACTGTGTAGATCGATGCTCATACTGTTGATCACTAGATTTTCTAGTCCAGACTCGATTATTTACAGACCACCGCCATAAAGCTGTAATATTGCTGAGTGTGGTGTTAATCAATGGTTATCTTACAAAGATGACACATTCGTTTGCATATGCCCCTCGAGAGTGAAGTGTGTCTTGGTTGGAGTATCTTTCGGCTTGGCTGTTATCGTCCTGTTTGTTATCGTCAGATCGACTGCCAGTTAAAGGAAACCAGCCAAACCAACCCCATGGTCTTGATATGCATATATTCTCTCAATTTAAACAATATATAAAACACAACATCTGGATATAGGTTGTACTTAAATGGCTTATATTTATGCCAAAATAGTCATGCTAGTCTATATTGCCCTACTTGCTAGTCTATGTCTATATGTCATGCTAGTCTATATTGCCCTACATGCTAGTCTATATCTATATGTCATGCCAGTCTATATTGCCCTACGTGCTAGTCTATGTCTATATGTCATGCTAGTCTATATTGCCCTACATGCTAGTCTATATCTATATGTCATGCTAGTTTATATTGCCCTATATGCTAGTCTATATCTATATGTCATGCTTGTCTGCATTGCCCTACATGCTAATCTATATCTATATGTCATGCTAGTCTATATTGCCCTACACGCTAGTCTATATCTATATGTCATGCCAGTCTATATTGCCCTACATGCTAGTCTATATCTATATGTCATGCTAGTCTATATTGCCCTACATGCTAGTCTATGTCTATATGTCATGCTAGTCTATATTGCCCTACGTGCTAGTCTATATCTATATGTCATGCTAGTCTATATTGCCCTACATGCTAGTCTATGCCTAAATGTCATGCTAGTGAATATTGCCCTACATGCTAGTCTATGTCTATATGTCATGCTAGTCTATATTGTCCTACGTGCTAGTCTATATCTATATGTCATGCTAGTCTATATTGCCCTACATGCTAGTTTATGCCTATATGTCATGCTAGTCTATGTCTATATGTCATGCTAGTCTATATTGCCTGCTGTTTCATCAAACCATATACGTATATGCTTCTGTATATGCTCCACTGAAATGCGGGCGGTGGGGTAGCCTTGTGGTTAAAGCGTTCGATCGTCACGCCAAAGACCAGGGGTCGATTCCCCACGTGGGTACAATGTGTTAAGCCCATTTCTGGTGTCCCCCGCCGTGATATTGCTGGATAAAGCGGCGTAAAACTAAACAATTTGGGCAGCTTGTTCAAAGTCTGTGAAGATTGCCACTGGTGCCAAAGGAATGTTGTTCTCGGCAGTTTTCTGTTTAACGATCTGGAAAAATTCCTCATAAGAAGTCCATACACTAGACGTAGCATCTTATCATTAACCGCAGCATGGATGATATATAGTTGCTGGTAGATTTCTGGGCACATGGCAAAGGTACCGTCGCTGAAGTAGTTGCCTGTCATGGAGTGGTATCTCAGGTTGTCAGTGGTTGTGTAGATGAACGTCTACACGCCCTAGTGAGAATTCTGTCCACCTTGGGAGTAAGCAGCAAACCAAACATGTACTTGAACGTTTGCTGTTCTGCAGTGACCAGTGTGACGACCAGTGTGACCAGTCCAAGCAATTTATATACAGGGAAATACTCACTTATAAACATATGATTTAAATCAATGACATTCTTCAAAAGTGTTCATCCATCAGGTTGCCACCATAATCTGATATTAATTAAACAGTATTCACTCTGTGAGAACAGTTTACCAGCACATGCCAACTTTAATTAAACAGTCTATAACCAGAAATGTTGCGAGCTGTGGCCTTTTATAATTGTAACAACCTATAGGCTGCAGGCACAGTGAGGTTAAGCAGAGTAGCAGTGCAAATTCATATTGGTTCGCCTCTACTGGAGAATACCGTACTCTGGCTAACCTGTTTGGCGTGGGCAAATCAACAGTATATGACTCTATACACCAAGTATGCCAGATCCTAGTGGATCACTTAATGGAGACCTACGTTATCTTACCCAAGGATGAGGAGTTGGATCTTGTGATCTAAGGTTATGAAAGGCGATGGAATTTTCCAAACTGTGCTGGTTCCATAGATGGCACACATATATCAATCAAGTGTCCCAAAGAAGCCCACGGCGATTGCTTGAACAGAAAAGGCGCTTACTCAATTGTAGTGCAAGCCTTATGCGATCATCAGTATGTATTCCGTGATATAAACATCGGTTGGCCAGGCCGTGTTCATGACGCAAGAATCTTTGTAAATTCGGAAATCTTTCACAAAGGCGAGTCTGGAAAACTGTTTCCTCAGTTTCATAAAAGGGTAAACCTCCCAGGAAGAGATTTTAACTTCCCAACTGTTATTCTCGGAGATGGAGCCTACCCTATGACGAAATGGCTCCTGAAGCCACACAGCAACAGAGACAGTCTGACGGAGGAGCAAAAGGTATTCAACTACAGGCTCAGCAGGGCTAGAATGACTGTGGAAAATGCTTTTGGCAGGTTGAAAGGCCGTTGGCGATGTTTACAAAAGCGTTTCGACGTGGATGTAGAGTTTGCATGTACCGTTGTTGGTGCATGTGTTATACTATATAACATCTGTGAGCTGAATCATCAAGGATACGACGAGTCTGGGAGAGAGGAAGATGACCAGGGTGAAGAGTGTGAGGTCCGTGATGTTGACAATCACACCTCAGTCAACATCTTACAGAAGCCTTCTGTCTTGGACTACTTTAAGGCTAGATTACCTTGAATGATAGAAGAACAGTACAAACTGAAACGACTTGCCATACTGAGGACAGTGGTTGTACTCCATATGTTTGTAAACATTCTGTTTTCGTTTTGTTCTTTTGTCCAGAATATGACACATTTGCTTTAGACTGAGGATAAAATAGTTTGTGGGTTTGTGGATTTGCTCTTTCCTTAAGAGTTCATAGTTGAGTGTATGTAGAGAAGACAGTTTCATTACCAGAGATGCTCTTAAAATCCAAAGACGGCAGAGTGCTATGTACACGTGACTATAGTGTAGTATCACCTTGGGTTCGTCAGTATCAGCTACAGCTCGCAGGTTTCACTGTATCACATAAATTGGTGATACATGCTTTCCTCCTGCACTAAACTGGCACCGCCTCGATATAACTGAGTGAGTGAGTGAGTTAATTAAGATTTAAAGTAACATCGGCAATATTTCAGCCATATCGTGAATAAAACTAGTTCTAAATTCATAATTCATACATATAATATATAAAACCCTGTCAACGAAGGACAGTAAAACCACTAGATTATCACAGATTGAGTTAAAACAAGCTAGCATATATCTTTAAAAGTAGAAAATTATTTCTGGACAATACAATGTAGAAATGGGCTATAGATCGCCAACAACTGAAGGTAGATCACCATACCAGGGACCATGTGGACTTACAGTACCTTTGCTACCTGCATGGACCCTAGTTGGATTTACACCATCTCTTCAGCCGCTGGCGATTGTAGGACAAGTTTAGCCGAAATTTAAAGGAACAAAGATACTACGTTTAAAAATCGGGTAAGCAAAAATTTAACTTTGAAAGTTTTGGGACCTACGTACCCTCTCAGGAGGACAATAATTTTACAGTACTTTAACCCCCTCGAGGATACAGCCACTAACAATCGCAGTTGGAAATTTATACTACCATGTTTAAAATACCGTTTATCTATTTACAAATCCTCGATATAACTGAAAAAGTGTTGATAGCGGCGTTAAACTTCACTTCACTCATTCATATAACCAGTTTAGATAAAATTATTAAGTTCATTTAATAAGGTTGTAAAATCGTATTTGCTTCATTTACCTTAATTTCATAACTACTTTGAACTGCTGAAATGCGTTCCCTGCAGTTTGAATGACAAATACAAATAATTCAGTAGGAATAAATTTGATTAACATCCAAAGAAAAGTAAACTTTGATGTAATAGCAAAATAACTTTAATCTAAACATATTATCGTAACTTTTGTTGGTCCAAATAGGTATTGCTACAGAATAAGTAATCATTATCTATGAAGCTCACTAAAAAACGAGCAAAATAAAGTCATGTTTTCTGGTCCACTGATGAAAGGTAAATAAATGAATCCATTGTTGACCACATCATACGTCAGATTATGCTTGTTATTCTCTGATGATTCCAGCTGTCAAAATCATAAAGAACGAACGACATCTGTTCTAGAATTGTGATGTAAGGTGACCACGTCGCCTTGGAAACTACTTGCATGGATGCCTCTGTATCTGGAAGTAACTATACACTAATATAATAAAGTCAAACAAACACTAAACATTTACAGAAGCCACAGTGAACAAGTTCATTTCACATGTTGTAATATGTGCTTCCGCTAGTGTCATATGACACATCAGATCCCGGATCATCGCCACGTCAGGTTCCTGGCATGGAGCTGGGACAGTTCCATGGAAAGTGGCCTTGACCTTGACCCATCTTGCCAAGAATCATGCGCATCATGTTCAATTGATGCTGATTTGTCTCTCGCTGCATTTTCTCCTCTGACTCTCTATTACTTTTCTCCGTTTCAATTTTCAACTTTTCCATCTCTAGTTTTTTCATTTCAAGCTCAATTTTTCTATTTTCAAGGTTGACATACTTATCTTCAAACTTCTCGTTGCTTTTCGTAAATCCAGACATTACAGTTGTCATGGCCACCTCAAGTTTGCTTTTCTTAGCTTTCTGGTTCCATTTCTGTGAACTCTGACTTTGCTCACTATCTTTAGCTGAAAACAATGAGCGTTTTCGTGTTGGCTGAATCTTTGGAAGAGCATCATCTTTGTCAAGGTTATCTGCACTGATTCCAGGTCTTGGCTCATGCTCATGGTTAGAAGGAAGAGGATTATCCCCTTTGTCTGCCTCTGTATCACCAGTAACCCCAGTCCCTTCTGCATCAGGACCAACATCTGTATCACTAGAGACGTCAGTATCTATGTCATCATGGGTTTTATCTGTTGTAGAGCTTTCAATAATCTTCACAGGAGAGGAGGCAGGTCGACATCCCAGTATTTCATCAAGTTTCTCAAAATGCTTGCAGAGTGAACGGCCTCTACCACTCTTCTTCAATTTTCCCTCACACATCCTGTAGCTTCTTTTGAGACTGTGCATTTTTACCTTACATTGTTCTGGTGTCTTTTGAAATCCATAGTCCTCAAGGGCTGAAGAAATGGTCTTGTAAATACTTGTATTGTTGGTTTTAGGATTATCGAGGCTTTCCTCCACATGTAACTCTTGCCAGATGTTCAGCAAGGCTAGTGTTTCATCGTCTGACCAGGACGTGCCCCGTCTTTTCCCCCTCTCTGTCTTTTCGAGGTATGATGCACGGAGAAGGACTGTGAGAGTGACGGCAACAATTCCCGCAAAATTAAATATAGCTCTTATGCAATACTGGCCTATAAATAAGTTTTGTGAAATTTAGCTTTCTGGACATGTTCATTTTGCACACGTGTAAATTTATTTTGCGTTCGCATGGGCCAGTTTGCTTACCATGCAAATTTGCACATGTGTAAAAGTATATTTACACCTGCGTCAAATCAGATGCAAATTTACTCCTAGTGCAAATTTGCACGGAGTGTAAATCGCGTCCGCATGGACCAATTTGCACATGTGTCTTTTATTTGCATACATATGTAAATTTACATGGTGTGCAAATGGGTCCATGCGAACGGGGCTGAAGTCAAGCAAGGTCTAATACTATTGTGACTTAGGTATTAGCATTGTGACGTCATAACTGTAATCCAGTTTTACGCCATACGTACGGCACCACGTGATGTTATTACACAATGTATAATAAATGACATTGTAAAATTATTAAACTGTGATATCTTCAACGGGTGAGTAATAAATAGAGGATACTAAACGACCTTCCGTGTGTAATACCATTTTTATGAAACGAGTTAATCATTTGGTATCAAACGAAAGAGTTTAATAAAAATGCTATTTCCCATTAAGCGACGGTAGTATTCTGTTTATTACTCTCTAACATAAATTGATAGAAAATGCCCACAGTGTGATGACTCACAACTTTCCGCCAGTCAAGCAGGATCTGATACACTTGTGACAGAGATTATTAGCATGGTGACCTCATAACTGTTATGACGGCATAAGTGTAGCGGTATTACACTAGTGTAATATTGTCGTTAAAATATTACACTGCAGTATCTTCCACGGGCGAGTAATAAATAACAATATCATACAATTATTGCTTTGATACGATCTTAAATGGCACTTTTTGGTCGTGCAAAACGGAATGTCCCGTATGTACGATAACGAGAGTTAAACTGAAACAAATCGACCAATCAGGGAGCTGCTTTCCCACACGCGCCAGTTCAATGCGGTTTCGTTGCAGCCTGTTTGTATGTATGAGTCTGTGCATGTGTGCGTGCGTGCATGTCGTTGATATGATCGCGCATTTAAGTCATTCGTGAGATTAGTATACACACTATATGGAGATATATTAACTAAGGACACATGTTTATAATGACGATTGCACAAACCCCACACCCACACCCCCAAACCATATTGTGTTATGAAGCAGTATCATAGTAAAACCGTTCAGTAGAAGGCAGTGGTGTGCTAATTACCATCTACAGAAAGGGAGTCTAGGGTAATGGAGGATTTGCTAGAACTACATACATTAATCCATCATGTAACGAAATGTTTTAGGAGATATACAACAGATATAGATACACGTGCTTGGCTCTGCCCTATCTCATCAAGGCTCCGTTCCACGACGCGATCAAAAACTCCTAGACCTTGACAGACATACGACCGCCTTATGGAACAGAGCCATGCGTTGTAAGCGTCTTCAAACTGGATTCCCATCCCAGGCAGATTTGGGAAGATTGACCACTGTTATCGTCATTGTGGTTGTTTAAATAACCACGGTTTTTATGTCATACTGATATTGTGTGTACTGTTATAGCGCTTGCCTTACTATTACACTTCCTCTGCATTAATTAATAAATTTAGTTAATCTTTATATCAATGTCTTCATTGTTAAACAGTTCATCGTTTGTTGATGGTTTCACACTGAATTCTTTTACGTTCTCATTTCTGGCGTAATTGTCCCGACATTGAAGTATATGTCTTAAGGTGTATGTCATCTGTGCTTTGACAAAACTTGAAATGTGGATCACCGTCAACATATTTCAGGTCTGACTGTTCAAGGTGAAGAGGAATGTGAGCCTGGAAAATATGGGGATGGTTGTAGTAAAAGTTGTTCTCAAAACTGTAAACCTCTTCCAAATGGCATAGTGCTCTGTCACAAAGAAACCGGAAAATGCTTGGAAGGATGCACAATAGGTGTGTACGGTGACCAGTGTGATGAACCGTGCAGCAAACATTGCCTAGAAAACACCTGCAATCAGCACAACGGACACTGTACTCTAGGCTGTATAGGAAATCACATCGGCGTCTTCTGTGAGAATTACAATGGGATTATTACCGTGCATCAAGGTAAAACAAGTTTAAAACATTAATGAACGAGAGGAAGCTGAACATATAATGTGCACGTTGAAAAATGTGAAATTCCATTTCCAATATCATCTTGATACTCTTAAAGCTGCATTATATTTTAATAGATGTACAATGTTCAGAGTGTCATTTGTAGAATGTTACCAAGATGTGAGGAACTGCTTAACCGCTATCGTCTCTTCTGTTTGTTATTCAATGTTGAGGACTTTGTATGTATAAGTTCTCATTAATGCGTGTACGTATCATTATGCAGGTACTACCTCTAGCAGTCATACCACCGTTACCACAGGTGTGGCACCGACAAGCAGTTCCCAGGTCGTCATTCCAGTTGTTGTAGCAATACTTGTCCTTATCCTCATCCCTGTGGGCGCAGTGGTTATCATCATATGGTAAGTTCTAACAAACTCTTTGTTTTGTTCATTTGCTGTTTATCGCCAGTTGGCAATATGCCAGTTTTATGATAGTAGCCTGTAATTAATTCACCATCAGATAGGTAGAGGATACCAAACGCCCTTCCGTGTAATACCATATTTATTATACGAGTTTAATTAATAATGGTATTTCACGTAAGCGAATTTAGTATTCTGTCTGTTACTCTCAAACATGAATTGAAAGAAACTGCCCGCAGTGGGATGACTCTCAGCAAGGTTCAATACCACTGTCATAGAGGTAATAGCAGTGTGATGTCATAACTGTGATGTGATACGTCTGGCGATATTACACTAGTGTAATATTGCCGTAGAAATAGTACGCTACACTATCTTCCACTGGCGAGTAATAATAAATGACAGTCAACCAGACAATCCATATCATGGACATAGATCCACACAACAGCACAGAGTGACAGCATCAGCCATATTAACCAGCCAATCCCATTAATCGGGACAAAATACAGACTTGAACCGCAAATCCCGCTTCATTTAACAATCACTGTGATGTGCCTCTCTGGTCAAGGATAAGAGTGACCTGTGTGCCTTGATGGGAGAATCCTTGGCTGTTATCGTCAGGTCGAGGGTCACCACTTGTGACAGTTGATATTAATATGAATTAGTAACTGGGAATATCCAGAACACTAGGTTTCCATTAAACATGATTTATCAAGAAGGAAATACACAATGTGGAGTTCCTCCAATAGATGAGTGCACGATGTGCGACAGTGAATAAACCGTGACCACAATAAACTAAACACATCATGCGTGAACCAAGTTGAAACCCAGGTCGCCACTTGTACTGTACGGTATTTATCGAAATAAAATTAATGAATTCGTGAAATCTCAAAGAATAGCTTGGCTTGGTGTTGCTTGCCTGTCTTTTACCATCATACACCAGAAGAACTCCAGTTATATGAGAATGGCCTTAAATATTCGTCCTTTATTGATGTCATGATCATCGACACACACAACTGTGATGTGGTGACAGCATCACCAAGCCAGGTGGACCACCCGATCCCCATCTTGACTGGCACGGGTTACTGAATACCAATTCCTAACGAGATCTGCACGAGACAGTATTTATTATGCGCCGACAGCGACGCATTGAAATGACAAATCTATTTCGAGCTGCGTCACATTAAAAGAACATGTGAAACATAGCAGCTCAACTAAAACAATACTACCGATTTATATTACTTGCAATGATGTGCAGTTTATTGTGACATGCCCCTGAAGAGTGAAGTCTTGGTGGGAGTATCATTTGGTGGTTCTGTAGTCTCGAAGATCAATAAAAGAACACATACTACAGTTGATGCCAAGAGGAGTTATTGATGAGTAAAAGTTCCTGAAACATTATGTTTCATTAAACTTTATTGATAGTGGAGAAATATTCAAGTGGGAACCACTCTTATAGGTATGGTCCGTTTGGCTCAAAAGCGGACCGATGAATTGCATTCTAACTCGAAAACTAATAAACATAAAATACTCAATGGAACACTGATCATAATCAAAACGTCAGACCAACTCTGTGAGGTTTTTGCAGAATTTATGTCCTAAAAATAAAAAAGTTGTTTAACAAACTATCATTAAAATATTGACACAGTTCACTATTTGTTACGAGGGAGGAGTGCAGAGAAAGGGACAGTCAGGTGTGCGAGAAAGGATGGAGACGGCACAGCACAGGTTAATGAATCAATAACTTTGTCGGCACTTGTGCACGTGCTTCTCGAACACCTGGCTGTCCCTTTCTCTGCACTCCTCCCTCGTAACAAATAGTGAACTGTGTCAAACTTTTAATGATGGGTTGTTTAACAACTTTTTATAATTTTTGGACATAAATTCTGCAAACAAATCACAGAGTTGGTCTGATGTTTTGATTATGATCAGTGTATCATATGTTTAGTAGTTTTCGAGTTAGATTGCAATTCATCGGTCCGCTTTTGAGCCAAACGGACTATAAGTGCATTTGACCAAAAATATAAATAGAATATCAGACGTTTGTTGGCCGGTTGTTTTGGTTTAATTTACGTCGCACGCAGCCACATTCCAGCAGTATGGTGGTGGTCTGTAAATATATGGACCAGGCAATCCAGTGATCAACATAGTGAACATAGATCTACGCAATTGGGACACGATGACATGTGTCAAGCAAGTCCGCGAGCCTGACCATCCGACCCCGTTAGTCGCCTCTAACGACAAGCATTGGTTGCTGAAGACCAGTTCTTACCCGGACCTTCAAGTGTCTACAAAGTCAGACGTGGGTTACATTATTGTAAATGTTTAATACCGGAACGATGTATCATTTGTCTGCCAAAGAACGTGTACTGTGGTTTCTTCCACAAGTACACCATCTGAATCCACATGCTTTTCCATGTGTCTTCTTTCATACAGAAAATGCAGAAAAGTTTGGGCATTTTCAGCGTAATAAATCATTATTAGAGCAGTGTCGGATATTACCGCAATGTTTTCTCAAACTGCTGATCGTGACACTTGTCTTCTATGAACATGGCTTGACTGCGAAACTTCCTCCTTCAGCAAGACTATTGTTTAACTTAGAAATAACAACGCAAAGACAAGAAAGAAACACAAAAGACAAACAATGGACATTGCCTCTTATACGCCTAATTTATGTATGGGCAACAGTCTGTCCAAATCCGGGATACCTTGAGCTCTTTCTAAAAAAACCTTCTAATGCATGACTTTGCTAGCAATGCATTGATTGTACAGTACAAACAACAGTAGCACCTCACAGGTTCGCCCTGATGTCGTGTCCTTTACCGAACAAGTCTCGCTGGCTTCAAAATCAGGATGGGAAGAAACATAAAACACGATAATTGTGTCTCTGTTTTCCACTAGTCTTGCAGAATTGCCTTAATATTAACATATGGCAGAACAAAGCCCTACTTGCACATCCGATTTATACACTTAGTCTGCTTAAGGTTTAAGCCAAGAAAATGCAGCACATGTCCGGTTGGAAAAAAATGTATCAAATGAACAACCTAGCAAGAATTGTCAACGCTGAAACGAGTCCTACTGTAAAGCACTGTCATCATGGATCACCTCACATGGTCCCAGCTATGTCGTACACCTAAGCTAATTAGGAACAAAGTGGAGACAACAACTCCAAATATAAGTTGTTCCGCAAACTTCTATGACAAGCTGGTTGGGGCACGCAATAAGCTTTTGACACTTTTGACCGTGACCATTAATCCCACGGTTTTGATACTTAGATGAGAGTGTATTCGCTTCCCGTGTGCATTCTTCTGAATGTTTCAGGCATTAAAACAAATATTTATGAAATTTCAGTTACGTAAGTCAATCTTAGCAAATACCCAATGGCCACAAAAGGCCATACATTTGTTTGTCATCAATAATAGTGGTTTTTTGGTCATATTATACAGAGAAAATAATATATTTTGCACGACCGCAGTTATAATCAGCACTGTTCATGTTGAAATAAGTAATTCCATGCGTTATTACTCCCTCGCATCATGAAAGAAAATACATCCCCATCCACGCTTCATCAGTTATAACCCGTGAAGATCCGGGTTAGAACTGATCTTCAGTAACCCACTTACTCATCAGTTATATGATCGATCCCGTAACAAGTTCTGCAGATCAACAGGTTATGCAGGAGACAGTAAAGTATTTGTAAATTGTTTCAATTTAGTAATTGTTCACCAAAGTACGTTTGTACCTTTTGAAAATTTGACAAATATTGTCTGCAAAAACCTCGATCGATCGTCCGTAATGTAATAAAGTAAATGGTGAAAAGTATTTATCATATATTCTAGCAAGAAAGGTATGTTTAACAATATATATTTGTATACACATATTGTTTTTTTTTCACAAACTACTGACGATGTAAAATCACGTTTGTAGCTTTTGACAGGCTTTGAACAGTACCCGATTAAACAGGGTTATCCTGAGCAGCCTGTAAGCAACCAATCAAATAACAAATGTTACCTTCTTGCCCTATTTAACATTTGGTGCCATACTTTGTGTTCGTTTACATCCGTGATATAATTTCAATATATTGAAGTCCATTCGTTCATTCCCAATATTGCCTGGAATAGTTAGCATATACAACAAATACTGGACAATCGATCATGTGACTCTAATATGCATATTGTTTTAATAGGAACGATTAGAGAGTTTATTAACTTCCTGTTCACGTAGAAAACAACTGACAATTCGTCCAAGTAATGACACTTCATCCACTGCTAATTGTTATGACACACAGTTGGTTCGGAATAGACCAACATGGCTGCTCGGACAGTCCGACACGTTTCTACTTGTAATAATTATACCGTACAAGAACAAAGAGTTACACAACCTGTATTTTATTTGATACACTTATATGTTATTTGAATAATTATGTGATTCAGTCTTAATCACCAAACATGATTCATAGTGGCATGCCTGTAAATTGGGTGGCAAGCTGCTTGTTACAAATAATACAGTCGAAGATGATGTAGTATTCCCAGTTACTCTCGTTCATTGTTGAACTGGTTTACAAAACCTCATCTCAGTTATCTGGAGGCTCAATGGCTTCAGGAGGCTTAGAATACTGTTGGCAAAGAAAAGTGTCCCGAAAGAGTTTACATGTGATAATATTGATTGTATGAGTAACTGTTCATTTCTTTATTTTAGGCGCAGAAAAAAGAAGAAGAAGAAGAAGAAGAAGAAGAAGGAAAGTAAGTAAATCTATTCTGTACTCATTTCATAGAGATACCAATACTAATTCCAATAAGTAGTTCAAGTGTATAGAGTACAGCTCTGTTAATCTATCATCGCATTGTGTCTTTAAGTCGCCCAGTTAAGATCTGTCGGATTTTTCTATTATAATTTTGGTGACATATTATTGCCGTAAGATGCCACAAAAAATTATCATTTGATCAGGGTCGGCGACTTTCTGAGTTGCCTTCCTTGGTATGTTTATGTGTGTTTGGTATGTTTATGTGTGTTTGGTATGTTTATGTATGTTTGGTATGTTCTGATATCCCCGACCTGTTGTGTGTTACGTGTTGCCGTGATCATATAACTTAACATGTTATACAAAAACCTACACATTTGCCTTAACAGATGCGTACATGACCCAAAACTTCACAGCGGGAAATCCTGTCCTTGACAAAAAATATGGATTGCCCTACTTTTGTTGTTGCATTGTTTTGGTATATACTTCAGAGCAGTCATGGCACATGAACATAGAACAGATTACCTGAATTAATACATCTCACTTCCTATCTGGTCTTCAGGTCAACGTGACCCCGACGTTAAGGTGGGATTTCTCCCAGGTATGTCAAACATTGAAAAATATAATTATCTCTTTTCAAAGCTACTCCACCCAGGTTACAACATCCATCATTGTTCTTGGGTAGAGCCTTCCGCCATCGAATGCAGTCTAGCAGCAGCATCCGGCATTGCACAATAAACACCACCATCAGCATCACCAAAGCCGGAAATACTTGACCATTTAACGTGGACAGTCCCAGTTCTCTCTGCTAGAAGTTACATATATATGTAATAATTAGCTTTCTTTGTCCATGAAGTAGTGATGGTTTGTGACCTTTCCTTAACGGACCGATTAAACATCTGCGAACTACATGTAAGGATGGTTTGTGACCAATATCTGCGAACTGCATGTAAGGATGGTTTGTGACCAATATCTGCGAACTACATGTAAGGATGGTATGTGACCAATATCTGCGAACTGCATGTAAGGATGGTTTGTGACCAATATCTGCGAACTGCATGTAAGGATGGTTTGTGACCAATATCTGCGAACTACATGTTAGGATGGTTTGTGACCAATATCTGCGAACAACGTTTGAAATCTACGTATCATCTGGCTGTTAGATTTACACACTTTTAAAGGGGTGTTAAAATAAATGAACACTCAAGTCTGTATTTACTTGTATTTCACAGGTGTGTTAATCTGGCCATTACTTTCATGTGTTTTCTAGCATGTGTAACGTATGTAAATGCTGTGATTGTAGGACATGCATTTCAATACCTTTGAAATCTCGTATGACCAGGGTTAGGTTTGTCATATAGTTAGTACACGCGTAAATGGTTGGTAATGGGTAAATATAGTGTTACAAGATTAACACTACTTTAACATGTATTTCAATGGTTCTGTAATGTAACTATCACATAGGGTTCGTTAGCACGTCCGACCACGCCATAATCACTGAAAAAACTCTGAAGTCTAGGTATCTTATCTTTGTTCTCTTTCTTAACAAAACTAAGACATCATTCCTAGTTGTGAATGAATGGTGTTATTTGTCAAACAACTAAAACATATTTCAATTGCTTGAAGACAAGTATTGTACAGTTCACAGAGTTTGAAAAATGTTCACACTCTATCACTTCTACACCAACTACTTTGTTCATGTAACAGATACAAACAAGTATCCCTACTGTCCAACCAACATTAGAATGAGGTGCGCGAAAGACGCGTTTGTTAAAGGAGAGGGGGGGCGTGTCGTGAACTGATCCACTACCCACTCGAAGGGGGAACAGGTGTGAAAACTTCGGGCACGTGATTTTTGTGATCCTTGCAGTGATCACTTTCTGCGCAATGATTCGGAAATGTCGTGTTTCTGCTCGAGCATGTGTATACTAGTATCTTGTAAAGTGGACCGTTAAAAGAGTATCAAACACTGCAGGTATTTGAAACTTATCATGTCGCACTCTAAATTGGGTAAACGGGGTCAAGTCATTCATTCACAAACACGTGAGGTTGCCTACAATGTCATTCAGTACATGTGTACTATTTCCGACAGCACACACAGTGCACTCAAAAAGCCAGCGATGCTACTGGTATATCTGTCAGTACCTTGCGCAAAATAAAGGACATAGGTAAACAGGGGCGTAGCTACCATTATGAAAAAAGGCCCGGGCTCACACATGATTTTGAAAAGTTGGGCAAGCTTTCAACACTAACTAAATATAAAGCTTTGCAACCTACCGGGCTTACACGAAAAAAAAATTAAAATTCTTTCGCTCTTTCTTTTTCTTTCCTTTCTTTACTCTTCGATGTATTAGTTTGAACACTTGGATGTATTAGTTTGTACACTTCGATGTATTAGTTTGAACACTTCAATGTATTAGTTTGAACACTTCGATGTATTAGTTTGAACACTTCGATGTATTAGTTTGAGAAAAACATTGTCAACGTGTGATGTGTGCACATGGTACTTAACACTGACGTAGTTTGATAGGGGTCGTGTTGAACATTATTTTGGTCTGTGTACCTCAATGATAACTGTGCTGAGCTATGACACCTCTGTGAACTGTTAATCAATGTAATGGTATGTTATGGCTTTGTCGGGTTTAACAGAAACCAAGTCAGAATCTCGCTGCTGGAATCAAGAGAGCTACGTGCTGTTGTAAGACACTACCCCTCATTATATCTGAACTGGTATACATTTTCTGGACAAAGAACTAAGTCATATTCAAGGTTGCGGTACTTCTTCTCATTGCTACATGCACAATTGTCCTAAAGGTGCCTCCACATGACGAATGTGAACCTTGCTCTCTCCTCTCGGTGTTCACATAGTACATTTGTTTATCACAGGTGCAGTAGTTAAGCTGTCGAATGGTGTTTACAGGTTATTCATTGAAGACAAAAGATGTTTACCAGTCGTTGTCAAGTTAAGATGATAAGTGCTCAGTGTAGGTATTTATGCAATACGGAAATCCGTAATGTATGGTGAATGCAGTGACATAATGGCTATATTGCACCTGCAAGCAGGACCATATGAGTGTAAATAGTATCAACAGGGCACACAAAGGGTCCTGTGTAAACTCCACAGACACCTTTCACACCAAAGTGTGACGAAGGTGGGTTACTTAAAAATACTAAGCTGTATACATGGTATACTTTGCTGTACATAACCAACGCATGCATACAAAACATCTGGAGTGACAAAAGACTTAGTGAGTGAATACGTAAATATTGCTTAAAGGTGAGTCAGCAGTGTTGCAAGTATTTGCAGCTAAGTTTGTAAGAATATATGGCAAAACACTTAATTGTGTATAATTATATCAAAAGTGTGATATTTATTATCCAAAATGTCTTCTGGTGGAACTACGGAAACATAAACGACCCACTCTGCTAAAATTCATTGTGTATGTAGAATATTTGTGCATATAATATATTGTGAAGCGGTTGCAATGATATGTATGTATGTCCGCCCACGTGTTGGAAAAAAAACACTCATACACTCATTTGACTTTTTTTGGCATGTTTGAACAAAAACAGCTGTTAACCTTAATGATCTTGAAGAATATCTCATTTGTAATCGGTGTGATGGTCTGAAACTATAATACGATAATGATCACGTGACCAGCTACCTTAAACTCGTTGCGATTTTTTTTTCATTTGTTCCCATAATTGAATACAAGCATATAGGTAAAGCAAAAAGTGTACATATGCATGATCAAAGTTCATCAACTGGTAGCATGAAGAAATTATAATGCAATAAAGTTATTCAAGTTTGATTACAGATTAAGTCAGAGATTGAAAACTAAGGATAAAGGAAACCATTTCTCTGAAAATTATCAAAATTATTGTTTCTTGTGAATATGAATTTTTCAACCGTGTAAGTGTCTTTAAATTTTTTTAAGACATTATTAACTTTTGGAATTCTATTCTTTAAAGTGCAAGTATATATATGTGACTTTTAGCATAAAAGATTATATGATTTAGCAATGGCTTATTACCAAAACCAAACCAAACCAAAGTCTTTCTTATTTCAAATTTGTTTGTTTTGGATTATCCAGTTTTCAAGTTCTTTCTAGAAGGTTTGAGTTACAACACATTCCCAATATACATGACATAAAGTTTCACTATCAACATTACAAAAACATATATGTTCCTCCAATATCAAATTTGAGTTTCAGATCTTCAAAAGACTTAAAATATTTTCATTACAAAGGTCCTTAATTGTTAAAATTCCATTTTTAGCCCAATGCCTAATAAAGTGATTTGGGTTTTTGAAATTATCACCATGAAAAAAGCCCCGCGCTTAGACATGATTTTGAAAATGAAAGTTGGGCAAGGCCTCAACACTAAATAAATATACAGCTTTGCAGCCTATCGGGCTTACACGACAAAAATTGGCTTGCTACGCGCCTGGTAAATGCGTTTCCGCGATGGGTACCAGTAAGTTCACAATCCCAGGGAAAGTGCGGAAAGTTGAATTTGATGATTTTGATAAATGCGCAATTCGCCAGTACATTCAACACTGTTACACAGTAACCAAGACAATACATTCAACACTGTTACACAGTAACCAAGACAATGCCAACACTGACAGTTTATCACTTTACATACCCTCGGCACCTTAATGGTAAAATGGACTGCACCGCTATTCAGATGCACGGGTTCAAATAACAGGTCGGCATTATTCTTAAGTTCGTCTCACAGTACAAGGTTCACTTCAGAAGAATTTCAAAGAGACTCCCTTCCTTTTCCTAATGCAATACTCCTTACAACCTTCAGTAGTACTTAAGTAGTATCGGGATATATCGTCTCTTGTGGCGATACATCGATGTATCACAGCCCTTGCGATATTAATATCCTGATGTATTGCCTAAATGTGTTTTGTATTGATGCATTCGTATCGCATAGTTGACTATGCAAACATCGATACTATCGATGAATCGTTACACCACTACGTCAGATGGCCTCTTTTGATTCGGAATACAGATGTTGTCCCATACGGACGTTTTCTCAAATTTCAGTTACCCGACGGAATATACGGTACACCTATTTTGATTCCATCTCTTGGGTAGATTATAGAAAACTGTAGTGATTGCAATTAGTTCATAAAGTTAGATAACTAAGCAGCTTCTGTAATTATTGAAAGCTTACTACCTGACATCATTTATGTTGCTTATGCGTTTTTAATTTTTGCTTTTTGCTGTCTGATTTGTTATACATTATATAATAATGTTAATCATTTTGGCATCCCAATATCATGGAATATAATGTGAACATATTAATCTATCAAAGTACCGAAACGTTTCATAACTATGCTTTACTGTTATTGGGTGAAACTGTTAATTAAATGTACCTCCGTACAAACTTTCCAGAAATGAATAGAAACTGAAAATTGCTAAATAAATGGAAAACTACATTGGGTAAAGATTGCAAACGGTTGTTATTTATATACTTGCTTTAAATTATCAGTGTGCAGATCATGTCACAAACATAACAACTGAAGGATGGGTGTGGAAAGAGTTGGGGAAAACACGTGCAAAGTCTCTGAGTCAGCTGAGATTGTCCTTCAAAAACATCATATGTACATTTAACAATCACTTATCACTAAGTGCAACAAAAGCATTACAAAAACGCCATATTTCCACCTTTGGCTGGAGTTCTAAATATTTGATACCGAAAGCCTGTCAGTTAACTCAAAGGAAATAACCCTTGTTTTACAGTGATGGCTTTATCATAGTCACAATGAATTATAGGCTGCTATGCGTTTTCGAATGTGATTGAGTCAGTGAAATACTAATATTTACCAAATCAAATTCTAAAGGAGCTTTTCTTCAAGCAGTGACTTAACGCCATACATAGCTAGACTTGCTTAGATTATAGACTAAATATAAGGCATCATAGATATTTCACAAGCATGGTACAGGACCCTTAGCCTCATTAGCGTATTGCCTCACCACTTGCGAATTAAGCGTTGGCAGATGTAAATGTTACTGAAGATGTTGGTCCCCGCCAGCCGCCGGTGTTTGGTATTGTTTACTCAGTAACCCGAACCCTGCAGTGTGTTTTAACAGACGCTGAACCTGGGAATATCTAGATATGCTTCATTTAGGGCGTAAGCATTACAGTAAGGGCTGGGCGGAAGGGGAAATAATATCGTTCTCTGTCTATGATAAAACAGAGACTATATAATAGACTATTGTATGGTCTCTGGATACAGATTGGGACAAGACATGGAAAACAAAATATTTGGACAACAGACCATTGTTTGAGTCTTTTAATTGTAAATATGATTCCAATAGCTTAACCTAGATTTCGATATCCTTCGAATGTACATTTGGTTGAAACTGGAAAGTATACTTGTATCCCGTGACAAGAACGAATACTTAATAATTCAAAAGCATAACAGCACGAGTATCCATTTTGTCTTTTGCCTACATACGCTCAATCACAAGAATTGTGTCTCCAGGTCACGGAGCATCAGTGGTTTAGGGGCCCGTATTGCAATTCTCGTGCGTTTCCATGTGTTGTTGACGCGGCATGGACGCCTCGTAACATCACTATTTGATTATGATTCACAAACACATGCTCATGATATGGTTGGAATCGTGCCATGGATTAGCAGATATTTATCATGAAGGTTTTTTATGTAGGTGGCTTGAAACGCGCTTTGACAAAGGCCTATAGGTTCGATCACATTAATATTCGTTTTACAGCTTCTTTTCTCTAAAGATGCTCACGCCAAAACTGACTTAAATTCTAATCGCAGATAAAAGAATAAGACAATAAATAGTATGCCAAATTATCGTTACCATGACAACCCTGTGACATTTCACCTTATGTAAGAGAGCAATAAATACGATGCTGGGTATAGCAGTACTACTGCAGATGATAGTGTATGTCGTAAATTTCAATAAGTTGCTGCAGCGCTATCCCTAATGACTGGATATCTATACAATTATATGTGTGATGGAGGAGAACCTGCGTCGCTACTTTTCTCAGTAATCTGAATACATGTATGTAGCGTGAAACAGGAAGATATCTATAGAAGAAAGTGTTTGCCCTACCTGTAACAACCATGTCCCGTGTCTATAGGGGATATAATGTGGAGATGAATGACATCTACTTTTATCTTGGCCCGTTTATGATAATACATACTGCGATCTTTCACAATAATCCCTCTGGCTATCAGATTGAAGGTGCGTTTCAAACATAACCGGTACTTCAATTATTGTATTTATACAGAAACATTCTTCGAACTTTCTCCATATACGTCCGCCAGATACATTGCACACTACCCCTTTCTCTCTTGATCTTCTCAAACGACTGTTGCAAGTTCGAAGAATCCTGGGCGGTGGGGTAGCCTAGTGGTTAAAGCGTTGGCTCGTCACGCCGAAGGCCCGGGTTCGATTCCCCACATGGGCAAAATGTGTTAAGCCCATTTCTGGTGTCCCCCGCCGTGATATTGCTGGAATATTGCTAAAAGCGGCGTAAAACTAAACTCAGTCAGTCAGTCAGTCAGTCGAAGAATCCTGGTCAAAGTAGAAAAGTCTTAAGACTATTCCCTACAAATCTGTAACTTACACATTGGACCATAAATGGGTAGACCTTCCTTTCGGGGGAATATCAGGAAGACAACGATACCATTATCTCCAATGTTGTAGAAAGCACTCCACTTACTTAGGAAAACAATAACCCACTGAGATATTGCATTCTTGCCGGAATCACCGTTGATGGCTCTATCCGTATTAAAGAAATTCAAATTAAGCGAAAAAACAGAATGTTAGTTAAGTTCTTTGTAGATTCAACATGACGATACATACGTTTCATGATTTCTTAAACTGACATATAATGCCATAACGATTTAAACATGGAGGTAGCAAAAGTAATGTAAGTCCCCATGGATCCAAGTATGGTGATCTACCTTCAGTTGTTGGCGATCTATAGCCCGTAGTTATAATGTATTGACTTCTTTAATTGTAATGTTTTAGCTTTGCCCGCTAGTTTTATCTTAATATCTGTGATTCTCTAGTATTTTTACTGTCCATCGTCGACAGGTTTTAATCTTCAAAATGTTTTCACTTTATATTGTATGAATTGTTTGCGTCACGATATGGCTGAGATATTGCCGATGTGACGTTAAGTATTAACTCACTCACTCACTCACTCACTTAAACATTCGAGAGCATAATTATGTTTATCAAAGTACCTCAGTTTTCACGCTCATTCTGACTGGTTTCAAAATAACTGATTCTATCCACCTCTAAAGTCTTAGTCTTTGTCTTCTCCAATTGATAGTCTTTACGTTGAAGCAGACGAACCCTCTATTAACCAACGCCGTGTAAGTTCTCATCGTACTGTGTCAAAAAACTATCATCTAATGAGTCCAAACATGCGTACAACTGTTATTAATACGCTTCACTTGTTCTGCCTCTTGGAATACGAATTAATCCTTTCCTTTCTGATGCTAACATTGAGCTAGAAACCATATCTCCTTATTGCCTGCTTTCTTATCCTTAGTGAGTGAGTGAGTTGAGTTTTGCGCCGCACTCAGCAATATTCCAGCTATATGGCGGCGGTCTGTAAATAATCGAGTCTGGACTAGACAATCCAGTGATCAACAGCATGAGCATCGATCTGCGCAGTTGGGAACCGATGACATGTGTGAACCAAGTCAGCGAGTCTGACCACCCGATCCCGTTAGTCGCCTTTTACGACAAGCATAGTCGCCTTTTGTGGCCAGCCTGGGTTGCTGAAGACCATTCTACCCCGGATCTTCACTGGTATTCTCAGCAAATGGTCAGACCAACACTAACACTGCTTACCTTAAAAAAATAGAGTATAAACAATAATTTTATCAAATAAGACATAAATATAATATATTTATTTATTAACAAATGAATCCAAGAACGGTGACGCTGTTGCTTGTGCCCCGTCATTAGATCCAGAACAATATTCTAGATTACAAGATAACAGCTCCATTTTCACAGCTGAGGCAATCTCCGTATAATAATATCATTACAAACACCCCCACTACGACATTGCCCTCTGATACCCAGCCAAGTTGGTAAAAAAAAATTACATTATACAAACCATCTATAACTACTTGGGTTGTCAGTCATTTGAAGAGATCGTTATGTGACAATTCCGCATTAGTCATACAAGTTATACTCATGACTATCTACTAAAAGGTAGGGATCCTCCGGTTTGTATCCACTGTGATGATGGAATAATATTAACATAATACATTATTACATAGCCATAGCTGTTGCTTTGATGATAAACAGATTTAGTGAATCGTGACAAATTCTACTGCTGATATTTCCGTGCACAATAGTATATATATTGTATGCATATATCATTTAATCTTTTCGTTTTAGGTTCTCCTCAAGATGGTCAGTATTTGATGAAAGAAATACAAGAGATAAAAGTTTCGTCGTATTTTTGGAAGGTTGAATAAAAGCGAGAAAGCCTTATCCATGTCCATGAGAAATAGCTGCCAAAAGTAAAGTCTATTTATTCACATATCACGTGTTTATGAATCACAAAGTGATACCAGGTGTTTGCAAAAAGATCAGCGTATAGTCCCACCCTTCACAAACACATGAAAGTGCAAGTCAACTGTTCTCCTGCAAAATGTCCGCAAATTTTGTTACACGTCCAAATAAGAATCAAATGTGTTGAAAGCTATTAACTTGGTCCAAAACACAAACACTTGCACTGTGATCAGCGGCCTCCATAAAAGGCCATCCGACTGGACCTCATTTGAAAAAAATATATAGCTACAATTTGTAATAGTTAACAAAGAAACGTGATGAAACTGATGATGGAATCTATAAACCACTGGGCCATTAAGCTGAATGTAGTTTGCCAGAAGTAGGCATTGAGGTTTCAATAAAGTATATAGGAGCATTGATTCTCCCACGTTCCTCGGTTTGCTTCAGAGATGATGATGTCAATGCGGAGGCCTGGTGCTCCTCAACCCTCGAACTGCAGTGTATTCTGTGAGTACAAGCTGTGATGAGGAACAATTGTTCAATAATATTTGTGTGTCATATTTTATTCAGACAGAGCATTGCAACTGGTTAATGGAGCTTCTCATCATAATACGCATCCGTATTCTTAGTTATGAATTTGATTTAGCCATGGATATTTATATAAATGTGTATGCGATGCTCACAACAATGTGTATACCTCACAGACACAAGGTAGTGCACTCTGTAGCCAGTACATGCTGTGACGAGTGTCCGGCAGATATATATTAATGACATGAAATTAGCTCAAGTATACATTGATGCAGTGGGTCAGCCGTCCAGCACCTAATAATCTCAGATACAAAATAGGGGAAGGCAAAGTAATGTAACCATGGGTTGGTTAAAGATTTAACTGGTGGTTATTTGAGAAATACTACCGACTCATACATTTATGTTACAGAAATATATTGATGGTAATGTGAAATACAAATCTAAATCCTGACATCAAGTGGTACCAACTGTGATAGTGTCATTTAAATGTTTGCAATTACTGAGATTTTCATTGTTAAATATTAACAGTACCTTGACCTCGCTTATGACACTTCCAATCCCGATTTTTCTGCGTTGTTTTAAGTCAGTTCCTAATTAAGGAGGGATGCTTGAAATAAGATACGACTTACATCAATGCAAGGACATTACACGATAACGCTATGAGGGTACAGGCGACTTACATCAATGCCAGGGTATTACACGATAACGCTATGAGGGTACAGACGACTTACATCAATGCCAGGGTATTACACGATAACGCTATGAGGGTACAGTGCGACTTACATCAATGCCAGGCTATTACACGATAACGCTATGAGGGTACAGGCGACTTACATCAATGCAAGGACATTACAAGATAACGCTATGAGGGTACAGGCGACTTACATCAATGCCAGGGTATTACACGATAACGCTATGAGGGTACAGACGACTTACATCAATGCCAGGGTATTACACGATAACGCTATGAGGGTACAGGCGACTTACATCAATGCAAGGGTATTACACGATAACGCTATGAGGGTACAGGCGACTTACATCAATGCCAGGGTATTACACGATAACGCTATGAGGGTACAGACGACTTACATCAATGCAAGGGTATTACACGATAACGCTATGAGGGTACAGTGCGACTTACATCAATGCCAGGCTATTACACGATAACGCTATGAGGGTACAGGCGACTTACATCAATGCAAGGACATTACAAGATAACGCTATGAGGGTACAGGCGACTTACATCAATGCCAGGGTATTACACGATAACGCTATGAGGGTACAGACGACTTACATCAATGCAAGGGTATTACACGATAACGCTATGAGGGTACAGGCGACTTACATCAATGCAAGGGTATTACATGATAACGCTATGAGGGTACAGGCGACTTACATCAATACAAGGGTATTACACGACAGCGCTATGAGGGTACAGGCGACTTACATCAATGCAAGGGTATTACAAGATAACGCTATGAGGGTACAGTGCGACTTACATCAATGCCAGGGTATTACACGATAACGCTATGAGGGTACAGACGACTTACATCAATACAAGGGTATTACACGATAACGCTATGAGGGTTCAGGCGACTTACATCGAGACAAGGGTATTACACGATAACGCTATGAGGGTACAGGCGACTTACATCAATACAAGGGTATTACACGATAACGCTATGAGGGTACAGACGACTTTAATCAATAAAAGGGTATTACACGATAAAGCTATGAGGGTACAGGCGACTTACTTGAGTGCAAGGGTATTACACGATAACGCCATGAGGGTACAGGCGACTTACATCAATGGAACGGCATTACACGATAACGCTATGAGGGTACAGACGACTTACATCAATGCAAGGGTATTACACGATAACGCTATGAGGGTACAGGCGACTTACATTAATGCAAGGGTATAACACGATAACACTATGAGTGTACAGGCGACTTACATCAATACCAGGGTATTACACGATAACACTGTGAGGGTACAGGCGACTTACATCAGTACAAGGGTATTACACGATAACGCTATGAGGGTACTGGCGACTTACATCAATACAGGGGTATTACACGATAACGCTATGAGGGTACAGGCGACTTACATTAATACAAGGGTATTACACGATAGCGCTGTGAGGGTACAGGCGACTTACATCAATACAAGGGTATTACACGATAACGCTATGAGGGTACAGGCGACTTACATCGATACAAGGGTATTACACGATAACGCTATGAGGGTACAGGCGACTTACATCGATACAAGGGTATTACACGATAACGCTATGAGGGTACAGGCGACTTACATCAATACAAGGGTATTACACGATAACGCTATGAGGGTACAGGCGACTTATATCAATACAAGGGTATTACACGATAACGCTATGAGGGTACAGGCGACTTACATCAATACAAGGGTATTACACGATAACGCTATGAGGGTACAGGCGACTTACATCAATACAAAGGTATTACACGATAACGCTATGAGGGTACAGGCGACTTACATCAGTGCAAGGGTATTACATGATAACGCTATGAGGGTACAGGCGACTTACATCAATACAAGGGTATTACACGATAACGCTATGAGGGTACAGGCGACTTACATCAATACAAGGGTATTACACGATAGCGCTATGAGGGTACAGGCGACTTACGTCAATGCAAGGGCATTACACAATAACGCTATGAGGGTACAGGCGAGCTAATGACAGAATCAGTCAGTGACCAGAACTTTATTCAATATACGTTCATACACAATATGGTTGTAGATAATTGAGCGACAATGTGTATATTTCCCTAAGCACAGATAGCATTTGGGAGTTTGAGGGAGATCACGTTCAGTGGCGAATCTGAGTGACTCTAACTGTAATATTATCTTTTCTGTGATTCGTTGTACAATTGTTCTCCCTATTTGAGCTCGTGTACTCCAAGTGCGTTTACAAGCAAATATAACTAGTGTGAATGTCTAGTTTCACGTTCCGACCACACTCTCTCCCAAGAACACTGAACAGAATTGTAATGAAATGACAAATGGAAACCATGAACACTCCGAAAACACTAGACAGGTCCTGAATCGTCACTTTTCATCTGTTCAGATAGACCATCAAAGTTTTTGGATACCGAAGGTAATACTGACATTATAGCATATCGAACACTGGTTGTCATGTAACATTAATAAAGTTTTTAAAAATATCTAATCATTTCATGTGTGTCCTGTCAAGTGTATGTTGCGGCATACTGAGTGAGTAGTAAGCACTGACGGTAGAGCATTTTTCATTAGCAGCAAAATCTCTACATATGTACACTGTAGCAGACTTAATTTGAAATTGACAAATCATAATGTGTTTATATACCACTTAACACGCTGTCACTAGAATGTGTTGTCAGGACGCAGTTGTGTACAGTTCGCCGTCGTGTGGTAGAAGTACTGTAGGTAATTCAACATTATTCCAAATCAACACATCGCTTTTATTTCAGCAACATTGTTGTGTCACTTTTTTCTGGTGCTTCGATCACCTGATTGTCTGTGCATACAGGTGTTTACTGTTGTGTGACGTCAGGCAGCAAACACTGACTTTGGTATTCAAATTGTGTGTGTGGCGGGATCTACAGTTCGGGTAGAACACACCTGCGCCTTTCGCCAGATCTTGGCGATCTATTCCTGTAGTTCACCTTTTACATACGTTTTACCTGTTACCTATGGAAGTGAAACCGGTTATTCTCCCGCATTGACAGTATATATTAACGTACGCAAGTAGGCAACTGTAGATATATATCCACTTGTGGAGGGCATACAAATATGAAATACATAAAGTACTGGGCTGAAGTCCAGCTAAAAAGGGCGTTCTTTAAATAATCAAGGCTGAATCCATGTCAGATCCAGTCAGGTAAGTTACCATTCAGTCGCCCCCTCTCTCATCCCCACCACCCCCACCCCACAAAAAAAATGAAAGTAAGAAAAAAAGAAAAGAAAAGGAAAAATGTAGCCAATGTGATATCACCTCAGCTCGTGAAGCACGATTTATATACTTAATATATTTAACCAAACCTCAACTTATATTGACTCCTGGGTGGAGTAGGGTTTACTTAGAGATAATAAGTGCAAGAAACTGACTCTTGCCGTTGTGCTCGGGTGTACTCGCAAGTTGTAGATTGTAGCGAAAAGATGTAGCTGCTACTGGATCCCAGTTAAAACTAAAATGTTAGCCGGGAATGAGCCCGTAAAGAAACAAGGCGCTAAACCAACACACAAAGAAACATGCATCAATTAACATCAGCATTCTGACATTTAACATGTTCTCAAATCAACATAAATCAACACTGGGATCGCACTGTGGCAGTACAGAACTGTGTGGCAGTACGAATACACGGGTACCATAATACAAGAGCAGTGATGAGAGCAATAAAGCCAATGATGGTAATATTCACCTCGGCATCAACACTGGGATCGCACTGTGGCAGTACAGAACTGTGTGGCAGTATGAATACACGGGTACCATAATACAAGAGCAGTGATGAGAGCAATAAAGCCAATGGTGGTAATATTCACCTCGGCATCAACTCTGGGATCGCACTGTGGCAGTACAGAACTGTGTGGCAGTTTGAATACACGGGTACCATAATACAAGAGCAGTGATGAGAGCAATAAAGCCAATGGTGGTAATATTCACCTCGGCATCAACTCTGGGATCGCACTGTGGCTGAATTGCAGTATGAATACACGGGTACCATAATACAAGAGCAGTGATGAGCAGGTAATATTCACCTCGATCAACTCTGGGATCGCACTGTGGCAGTACAGAACTGTGTGGCAGTATGAATACATACCATAATACAAGAGCAGTGATGAGAGCAATAAAGCCAATGGTGGTAATATTCACCTCGGCATCAACTCTGGGATCGCACTGTGGCAGTACAGAACTGTGTGGCAGTATGAATACACGGGTACCATAATACAAGAGCAGTGATGAGAGCAATAAAGCCAATGGTGGTAATATTCACCTTGGCATCAGTAATCTAACTTTGAAGAAAGGGCTAAGCAGAGAGTGTCCAGGGTTTCAACATCACAGACAATGCTGGTCTCCTCTTGCATTGAGATGTAATATAAGATGAGAGGCAAGAGTTAACTCCCTTTTTATACCACTCTTTGGCAGACGATTCGGGGATAGGATCATTGTAGCACTTTGCAAATCATTCTGTCTAAATCGAGTAAAGTCTGAACATAGCACCCCAATGCCCCTTACTGAATATGCAGGAACAGTGTATAAGAGGATGATACACTGTCGCACACCGTAAAACACTGCATCACAACACTATGAATAAATGGTAGGAGTTACTTACATAACTATTTGGAAAACCTGCTATAATACATATCATACATTATAATTATAGGTGTAATTATTTCAGTAATACGTACATTATTTCACGTCCTTGCCGACAGATGCAGTGAGCTCCAGGCGTTGTTTCCATTCAGTATTTCACGTCCTTGCCGACAGATGCAGTGAGCTCCAGGCGTTGTTTCCATTAAGTATTTCACCTCCTTGCCTGCAGATGCAGTTAGCTCCGGGCGTTGTTTCCATTAAGTATTTCACGTCCTTGCCGACAGATGCAGTAAGCTCCAGGCGTTGTTTCCATTCAGTATTTCACGTCCTTGCCGGAAGATGCAGTAAGCTCCAGGCGTTGCTTCCATTAAGTATTTCACGTCCATACCGGAAGATGCAGTAAGCCCCAGGCGTTGCTTTCATTAAGTATTTCACGTCCTTGCCGGAAGATGCAGTAAGCTCCAGGCGTTGCTTCCATTAAGTATTTCACGTCCATACCGGAAGATGCAGTAAGCCCCAGGCGTTGCTTTCATTAAGTATTTCACGTCCTTGCCGGAAGATGCAGTAAGCCCCAGGCGTTGTTTCCATTAAGTATTTCACGTCCTTGCCGGAAGATGCAGTAAGCTCCCGGCTTTGTTTCCATTAAGTATTTCACGTCCTTGCCGGAAGATGCAGTAAGCTCCAGGCGTTGCTTCCATTAAGTATTTCACGTCCATACCGGAAGATGCAGTAAGCCCCAGGCGTTGTTTCCATTAAGTATTTCACGTCCTTGCCGGAAGATGCAGTAAGCTCCAGGCTTTGTTTCCATTAAGTATTTCACGTCCTTGCCGGAAGATCCAGTAAGCTCCAGGCTTTGTTTCCATTAAGTATTTCACGTCCTTGCCGGAAGATCCAGTAAGCTCCAGGCGTTGTTTCCATTAAGTATTTCACGTCCTTACCGGAAGATGCAGTAAGCTCCAGGCGTTGCTTCCATTAAGTATTTCACATCCTTGCCGGAAGATGCAGTTAGCTCCAGGCGTTGTTTCCATTCAGTATTTCACGTCCTTACCGGAAGATGCAGTAAGCTCCAGGCGTTGCTTTCATTAAGTATTTCACGTCCTTGCCGGAAGATGCAGTAAGCTCCAGGCGTTGCTTCCATTCAGTATTTCACGTCCTTGCCGGAAGATCCAGTAAGCCCCAGGGGTCTCTTCATATTGCGTTTCTGACATATTGGTTTCATCCCGACCTAACAAGTAGACCTCAAAAGGCAATAAAATGCACACCACATAATGCTTTATTATTTTTATTCAAACGTACGGTTGTTTTCTAAAAGTCGAAAATTAACAAACAAAACACTCTCTCTCTCTCACACACACACACACACATACCACAGAGATAAATTGAAAAAACGCACACACCAAAACAACAATGCCAAATCCAAACAAAATCGAACAAAAAAAACAAAACAGGCCAACAACTCAAAATAAACATCCATGTTAACGCTGACTGCGTCTGTAAGTCGAGTAGATTCCACTCCAATGCATAAAATAGGGAGGCGTGGCTGAATGGGGGGAGGGGTGTTGTAGTATAGAGGGTGAACGGCTTACATAACATACAGACTCTATATATTCGGACACTTGACGTAATTACATTGACTTACATGTCATTTCAGTGTAGAATAAATACTTTTCATGAAGTGAGTTTAGGATAGATCTTGGTAAAATATGACAGGCAAATTTGAAATCATCTCTGCTATGCGCACATAATTTCAGTTCAATTTTCCGACCACTATTTAACTAATGACATCACATTTATCAACTTACGTATAGTTCCACAATGCACAATCCCATAGGTCGCCTTGTTAACCCCTTGGATGCCGAATGTTTTTCGGGCGCACATTTTCGTAAGGTTTAAAAAGTGAGCGTTGTGCGAGTATTGTGCTCGCATGGTCCTGGATCTCCGTACGGGTATAAAATTACACATAAATATAGACTGTTAAATTTCCTATCCGTTGGTAAAAATATAAGTGCCACTACCTCGGCGGTTTGACAAATGGACACTGCTATATGTTTTCCGAAATTTTGTTATGCGTTAAAAAGCAGTAAATGTCTCCGCCCTTTCTCGTGCACCGATAAAAGCACTGTGATACGACTTTTAAGGCTCCTTGCCGCAAGGCATAATCGCTTGAAAAAATCACCAAGGTGCCGACAGTGCTGAAGTTGTTTCTGCAAAAATCTCAAAGCTCTAGGCCCATTAGCAAAGGGCAGATAATTCAAATTAATTCAAAATTTCAATTTCCAAAGCAATTATCTACGAAACAACGTGTCCAACGACTGCCAATTTTTTTGGGCAGGTCCGATTACCTTCAATTTCAACTTCAGGAACCATGGGGCTAAGAGTCTATATCAGGGGCCAGAAACGGTGGGTGCCGTTGTTTAAACGTCGTGTGGACGACCCACACAACCCATTGACATGTTGCACAACGACGTGAAGCTGATTCCCAGGGCTAACTGGTGGTGTCATCAGAAGTGACCTGTCGTTAACGGGTTCGACGCCGGGGCGCTTTTAAGCCCGATTTACTGCAGTATTTCACGTTGCAGGTGCTTGTTATGTTTCGTACATCGACCACAGGTTTTTTTTGTTACTATGGATTGTAAGCCCTGTGTCTTGGCTTTCAGGTCATGTGCGACACGTGCGGGTGTCGTCACGTTTTCCCACCCTTAAAGCCACCCGAAGCTAAGCCCCATGCGTGTGACGGGAGCCAAAACAGCTCAGATTTGATACCACAAAGGGTCCGATCTGTGCATTAAACAACCAATCAACGATTGGCGCTTTCAGTCGTAATTCCCGCCACTTGGTTGGCTTCCATGTCTCACTCAGAAACTCTCGGATTAGCCATTACAATCAAAACATCAGAGCAAAGCTTGTGTGCCCCACCCAAACAAGTCACTCTGCAAACGTGACACCAATCAAGGCTCGATTGAAGACAATGTTGTAAATAAGAATTAAATATCACAAACGAGTTCCCGTTTTCTCTCCACATGGAAATATAGACAATACCAAGGCTACAGGTTTTATTCATCCTTCCGGACAGCATCAAACTAGGTGCAAACATAAGAACAATGAGTTCGCCATCACACCAGGCGGAACTAAAGACAATACCAAGAGGGAAATAAGGCTTTGGTCGGACCCTTGATCCAGCTATCATTACCCCTACTGCTTTTGAGTCCCCCCGGCACTCAAAAGCCTTATAAAAAGTTTGAGACGTTAGCGAGATACGAACGCCCAATGTTATACCTCACAGCCACACCACTTAACTGACTGAGCTACCGGGGACATGGTTCAAGTATGTCGGTTTAACGGGTCTATCCTGGGATAGCGAACTGATCATGTGACATGACGTGTTGACAGGATACTATATTGGGCTCACTTGGTAAGTGTTAAATATTTTGCTTGGGGGGTAACACTGTGCCGTACGGTACGATCAATAATTCCTGTCTAACAAACCCTCTCCCTGGCCCATCTCTCAAGTAGTACAAGTTAGGCTCATCGGCTTTCATGTCCACTTTTTCTATGTTGTAAGTTTTGACTGACCATATTGGGTCAGTGGCTCGCTTACGGCTATCACCCTCGTGTTCCCCCAGCTGGTATAGAGACCTCATTAGGGCCCTATCTGGTATCTGTTTCTCCTTCCCACGCAATGGAGCAGCCGACTCTGCCACTATTGATTTTAGTTTGATAGCGTCTGCCGGTTTCTTGCCGGTGAGACGGGTGGCTTCATGGTTGATTGCCGACACCACCTTAGGTAACCTCGCGACCCATTCAGTCAATCGCTTCCCCGGGGTGGTCATCTCTTTCGCATACTGATGTCCGAATAAGCGCTCAGCCAAAGTCCTATTGAATCTCTCAACAATGGCTTGGCTGCGATGGGCTTGTCGTGCCACGCCTGACCTTTGTATCGTGTTTGTCTAACAGGTGTGACACGACACCCATGAACTCCCGCCCGGGGTCAACTTGCAGCTCTGTTGGCCACGTCAGCGGACTGCGTTTGTATATGCGTTCGAATCCTCTGGCTACCTGGGCAGAGTCTTTCGCGGTCAAGGGTTCGGCTTCCTTGTAGCGACTGGCCACATCCACGACGGTTAAGGCATACTTGTACCTCTTGTCGTGGGGTAGGAACAGTAGGTCTGCCTGGTGAACACTATTGGGTATGTTAATAACAAACTTCCCTTCTAACTTGTTTGAGTGGCAACTTCCTTCTAGGCACGTAGCGTGGTGCCGGTAAATAGATCTGCCACAGGGCTTGTTTTTTCAAGCCACGCTTTGGCCTCCTCCGGGGGTACTCGCGCCATTTTAGCCAGCTTATCTACAGCGCTAGCTCCTTTCCAGTACCCACGCGGGCTATAGTAAATAGCCTCAAACTTTCTCTGGTTCCGTGACATGTCACCTAAACAGGGTATCCTGTTTATATATATCTAAACAGGGACGTCTTGTTTATAGTCAGTCCGTATATCCTATGCCCATCACTTCTAAGTGTGTTCATTTTATGTCTTAAGGTACGGGTCTTGAACAGGGCTTCCTTGAATCTGGCGTGTTTGATGTGTTGTTTAACCACATACTTCTTAACACCTTTCGCCTTCCGGATCTCACCATTGTCGGCCTTCAGGATGGAGTACATCTTAGGCCTCAAACCTATGTACTCGGCTATGGGCGTGCCAGCACATTCGTCCTTCATCTTACCTAGGACCTTTTTATTTACCGTGCTGTGTATGGCATGGTCCTTGGGGTAGTCGCTGGTGTCATACAAATCGAGGTGTTTTTTCATGTCCTCGTACACGTCCTCGGTTCGAATCTCCATCAGCAGGGAATCCGTGTCAGTGTACAGCACTTCACACCTGTCGTCGTACTGTTTCTTAAGCTCGTTGTAGTAAAAGTCGTACATCAGGTGTTTGGATAAATCGAGGATGCTCATCCCCACGTAAACAGGCCGGTTGAATTTTATGTGGCTTTTCTTCATGTGTAGGGCAACTAGGTCATCGGTGAATATCTTACTACGGTTGAATGCCGGACTGGCTATCAGTCTCCTGAGCTTGTCTTCCTCATTCGACCGAACCAGCTTCACGGTCACGCGTTTCCTCAGGTTCTCCATAGTCTTACCAAACACCGAGTTGTTCATGAGCTTGTAGAGATTTTTCGCAAAGTCACTGGTGGCAAGCTTTCGGAGGTCTGTGTTCATTCTGATGTAAAGGTTCCATCCAGGGGCTCTGGTTGAACACGAGCACCCTGTGTATTTTAGTCAGCCTCATACCCAACGACATGTACAGCTGTAGGTTGCGATAGTGAACGATGTACTTGGTCTTATTCATTAAGTTGGGCACGAGTTTTTCAACGTCTGCCACCCGCCCACCTAACAAGTTATGTTGGTACTCAGACATCCAGTCTGGGTTAACCCTCATACGTTCGGGGGCCAGGGGATAGCTGTTGTGTGATGTGTGTAATGCCTTGGGGTACTTTAAGTCAACCTCGAGGATATAACCTTTGTTTGAATCTGGTGCGATGCTCATAACATCGACCTCATGTGACGCCCATTCGAATCCCCCTGTGGGTAGATACTGGCTCATGGCCCAACCGTACAGGTTGATGGCGTCGAGGTAGAGAATATGATTGGTTGGCTTGCTCGGGTCGTAGCCCTTCATGTATTGATTATTTGCTTTCGTGTGTCGTTTGGTTGCCATGGAGATCCCACCTCGCAAGCCTTTCTCAATGAATAGGTGCATGTCGTAATCTGTGAGCAATTCCAACTTAACTCCGGTCTTTTTAAGCAAGGCATCCCACGACAGACCTGGGCTGGTGTAATACCATGCGGGGTCGAGTTTATACTGCTTGAAACATGTCCGCCTAAGCGTCTCAAACACGTCGGCTAACAGCAGTACATCTGTCCTCAAGTACAGGTCGTGATAGTCACCCAGATTCTTACAACCCAGTTTATTCCATACATTAATAGCGTGTGAGTAATCGTCTTGGGATATTGCCGAGTCTGTCAGATTGCTGTAAAATTCTCTGATGGGGGGTAGTCTGGTCTCGGCGAACTTGGCCCAACCATCCATGTACTCATAGGGGTACACACCCTTCCTCATCAGCAGGGGTCTAGTCTCGGCGTCTGTGTATCGATCGGTGATAGGGAAGGTATCGTTGGCCTTGACCAGACTGTCGAGTGACGACAGTAGGAACTGAACCGAGTCGATGAACCTCAGGCCGTTTAAGCTGAAGGAAATGTATCTCTCCATGTTGTTGGTGATGCACGTCAGGTTGCCGTCGATTTTAGCGATGGCCTGCATGATCAAGTGAGAGTCGTACCCTCTCAAGTTGTTGAAGACCACGGGGATGTTTATTGTCTTGGGGATGATTCTAAGCTTGAGGTTACATGTGCTGTGAGCGGCGCCTCTATACTTACCGGTGACGTGACAGTGATCTCTCACCGAATCACCGTTAAGTGGTGAGTCGCACACGTGACAATTAGTGCTACAGGCGTGAGCTAGCTGGTCGGCTTGGGTCATACTCATGGGGGCGACTGTATACAGGGCATTCCTAATAATTTTTTCTTCCTCCTGCAAACACTTTAGAAACGTTTCAACCGCGTCGAGACCCCTGTACACTACCGGAGCTTTCGTTTCCCCATCACAACGGACGACAACGTATCGAAACCCACAGGCTTCATGCTCCTGTGTTTTCTGTGTGAAGCTCTCACCTGTGGGGATACCCCCAGCAACCTCAACAGGTTTGACCAAGGCTTCAAAGT